CTTGATTTGACAGAAAGATTCTTCATCAAATTAGTGTACCAAAGAACCCGTGTAGGAATCTGCATATCACTCATTTACCAAAATTATGAAACCTCTAATGAACTGATGTGACATGCAGCAGCAAGATTTGCATTCCTTCATTTACACGGGTGGGCTGTTACTCTTTGGCCAAGGGACATCTGTCCAGCATTACTTCTTTCTGTTCTCCTAAGCCTACAAACTGCTATGAATGATTTCAGCTATTTTAGCCATGGAACTCCATCATTGTTTAGTCAGGAGGGTAGTACCTACTTTTTCTTAATTTTTCTACTTTTTTGATTCCCAGTATCTTCTTTCCATTTGTCTCCAAGAATTGCTTCCACAATTCTTAACTTTAAGTCTGCTTTGGCCATTATAAATATAGCATTCTGTATATTTTTTCATGTTTATACTTGAGAAGGGAAAATTGGCAAATGCATTGCTGGAATACTGATCACTGCATTGAACAGAGTGCTTGGTTGTTAAAGGGCTCCAGTGCCCCTTTACAATTACCTTTGTTTTGACTGACAGCTTTAAAAAGTTGGCTGGCTTCCACAGGTCTGAAACAAAATCCGCATTTGATGTGAGAAAAAGATGGAGCAAGCTTTCCTGTTTTGGTGGCTGTGATGTGGGAACTAAAGAGAAAAAGAGGGAGTAATGTTGCATGTGGGCTAAATATTATTTATGATGCTCTCTTTCTTTTCTATTGATTTAAAAATTGCTTGACGTGGTCTGAAGAGAAAAAACGGTCTTTGAACTCCCTTTGTATCTTGATATGTAATCTTAAATTAACTGAGTTGCTGGTCTTGTATTATGCTTTAACAGAAGAGGGTTGTTCAGTACACTTAATTACGTTTAATTTGGCACAATTAGACTGCTCAGTAGAGGGTCAGGCCTAAGATTTTTCCATAAAATTCAAAGCAGTAGAATAATTTCTATTTCCTCCCATATTGCATCAACTTGCTAATTCATTAGAAAACACATACAAAGAGAGACATTCAATAGCTGAGAAATGAGCCTGAATCAGAACAATGATATGATGTATCTAGGCTTGATTAGAGAGATGGTGGGCAGAGCCTGGACTGAGAAGAGTAAGCACCAGATTTTTGTTTCTTATTCTGTCCAGCTGGTGGTCAAGTTACTTTTTATCTGTGCCTCTATTTCTCTACCCGCTCTTTATTGTTTAAGATTGTGGTTCTTCAAAGCAGAGCCTGTCTTTCTGCATATATGTGTATGTTGCTTAGCAGAGCAGGTTTGGACTTCCAGAAAATCTCATAATACAAATATTAAATAAGAAATTTGTACCATTCTCATCACAGTGGCAACTAAGTAAATGGACATTTCAGTCTCCTGGATTTTTGGAAGTCCAGATCAGGATTTGATTCCAGATCCTGGAAAACATAGGGTCATCTCTTTCATGGGCTAAACTGAAAAATGAAAATATCATATTGTTGAATGTTGGGAAAGTTCAGATTTGAATCTAGCCTTAGAAACTAAAATTGTCACCCAGGGCTATCTCTTTTAATATGTTTTTAAGTGATGGAATTAATTACAGTATCCTTATATTTCCTATGAGATTTCATAGATTTCATAGACATTAGGGCTGGAAGGGACCTTGGAAGATCATCGAGTCCAGCCCCCTGCCCAAAGGGCAGGAAGTCAGCTGGGGTCATAGGATCCCAGAAAGATAAGCATCCAATTTGCTCTTGAAGGTGTTCAATGTAGGTGCTTGAACCACCTCCGATGGCAGGCTGTTCCAGACCTTGGGGGCGCAGACAGTAAAGAAATTCTTCCTTATGTCCAGCCTGAAACGGTCTTGCAGTAGTTTATGACTGTTTGACCTCATCATCTCTTGGGGCGCTCTGGTGAACAAACGTTCCCCCAGGATGCAGGGAATTGGTTTCAGAAAGGTTTGAGTGCTGTCTCTGCCTTAATAACTAGTTATCAAGGTATATCAGACAATTTCTGGTTCTATCATAGATACAAGATATGGAAAGGACTGAAGATTGCTAATTAATGGACTGTGTATTAAAGAAAAAAAAATCCTATAGGGCATCTTAAAGTTTTAATGGAGGTATTATTTTTGGGGGGTTCCCTCCTGTCTATGATGCTAGGAAGGTTTCTGTGAGCTACCAAGATTATCAGGAGCCAAACTAGTGTGAGCATTGGAGGGAGCCAAGTTCTCAGAGGCTTTAGGAAAGGCGTTACAAATGCCGTACTTGATGCAGGATAATCTAAAGCAGTGGCTTCAACCTGTATTCATGTGCAGAGCCCCTAAAAAATCTCCAGTGGAGGTGCGGATCCCTTTGAACTGTAAGTGGGGGAATTCACATACTTTTGATTGATCACTGTCAGAACTGAACTGGATCTTCTGTTTCTTTCTGCATTGTCCAGCCAGATCCAGTAGATCCTTTATGCACCAAGAAGTCTAGATGATGAGCTAGCTCTAGGTTATATGAATTTTCTTTTTGGATAATCCCAGATGATGGTAGTAACAAAGGCAAGGAGTCTTTGTCTCTCTTCCTTTTTAAATGCATGTTCTTTTAACATGATGATGTTAAACTCCTCAGAAAATATAAAATGTGAGTCAGTGCACACAAATAAGATGCACTGGTTGCAGATGCCTCTTCAGGTCAGCTTACTGATGATAAGGTTTGTTCTGGATCTTCAAAAGGAGACTGGACACACACCTTTGCTGGGGTTTGACCTCAGCAGTCTTTCCTGCCCAGATCAGGGGGATGGCCCTGATGATCTCACAAGGTCCCTTCCAGCCCTAAACTTTTGTGAAACTGTGACCTAGTTTGGGGAGGGGTCCTTGTACCACAGGGTGAAAACCACTGATCTAGAGCAGTGGTTCCCAAACTCTGACAGATTGTGCACCACCAATTTAAAATGAGACAACCTTAAGTACCACCAGCAAATATTTGTCCTATGAGGTAAGTTACAATAAATCTCTTAACGTGTACCACTAACAAGTTGTCTGCATACCATGGGTGGTACCCATACCACAGGTTGAAAACCCTTTATCTAGAGCAACTAGAACCTACATACAACCTTCACTCCGTTTTTTCTAGAGGGTTAAACAGGTCAGGAAGGGGAGGAAGGAGGATCTGGATAACTATAGACCGGTTAGGCTCACCTCTATCCTCAGGAAAACCTTTGAAAAAACTATTTAGGATCACATTTGTGGGAGTCCAGTGGGGAAAGCAATGCTAAAGGGCAACCAGTATGGTTTCATAGCAGGTAGATCCTGTCTGACTAACCTTGTTTCTTTTTATGACCAGGTCATACAATGTTTAGATGCAGGAATTGAGGTAGATGTCATCTACTTGGATTTTAAGATGGCCTTCGATATGGTATCTCATCCTATTCTCACAGATAAACTGAGCGGCTGTGACATAGATGATTACATGGTCATGCAGGTGGCAAATTGGCTTAGGGGTCACACCCAGAGAGTGGTGGTGGATGGGTCGGTATTGACCTGGAAAGATGTGGACAGTGGAGTCCCACACAGCTCAGTCCTTGGACTGGTGCTGTTCAGTGTCATCAGTGACTTAGATGAGGGTGTGGAAAGTGCTCTGTCCAAATTCACAGATGCTACCAAATTATGGGGTAAAGTTAACACACTAGAGGGTAGGGAACGAATCCAGGTGGATCTGGACAGGTTGGAAAAGTGGGTGGAGCAGAATAGGATGCAGTTCAATAAGGACAAGTGCAAGGTGCTGCACTTCGGGAGGAGGAATCACCAGCACGCTTACAGGCTGGGGGAGGACCTTCTCAGCAGCACGGCAGCAGTTGACACCAAGATGAACATGAGTTGTTAATGTGACAAAGTGATCAGTAAAGCTAACTGCACTTTATCATGCATTAGCAGGTGTATGACAAACAGGTCTAGGGAAGTGATGCTTCCCCTTTATGCAGCATTGGTCAGGCTATAGTTGGAGTACTGAGTCCAGTTTTGGGCACCACACTTCAAGAGGGACGTGGACAACCTTGAGAGGGTCCAGAGCGGGGCTACTCCTATGGTTAGGGGCCTGCAGGCAAAGCCCCACGAGGCGAGATTGAGGGCACTGGATCTCTTCAGGCTCCGCAAGAGAAAGCTGAGAGGGGATCTTGTAGCTGTTTATAAATTCATCAGAGGGGGACAGCAAGGAATAGGAGATGCTCTGTTTACCAAGGCACCCCTGTTTACTAGGACCAATGACCACAAAGTGGCGGAGAGCAAATTTAGGCTGGACGTCAGGAAGAACTTTTTTACGGTAAGGGTTACCAGAATCTGGAACAGGCTCCCAAGGGAGGTGGTGCTCTCCCCTACCTTGGGGGGCTTTAAGAGGAGACTGGACTGGGGTCAGCTGACCCCAGTGCTCTTTCCTGCCCCGGTTGAGGTGCGCTGCCTTAGACCAGCACGGCTACAACCTACACGCCTGTATGAACCTATGAGGCAGCTGACCAGTGAATATGAAGCTATAAGGCAGTTGCACGGTGAATGTGAAGCTATGACGTTGTTGAAAGGTGAAGCTATGAGGCAGCTGACAGGTGAATATGAAGTGATGAGGTCATTGACCAGTGAAGATGAAGCGATGACGCAGCTGAATGGTGAGGTAGTTGAAAGATGAAGCTATGACGTAGTTGAAAGGTGAAGCTATGAGGTCGTTGACGGGTGAATATGAAGCGATGAGGTCGTTGACGGGTGAACGTGAAGCTATGAGGCAGCTGAAAGGTGAAGCTACCAAGTCGCTGACGGGTGACCATGAGGCAGGTGACGGGCGAACACGGACTACGAGGCAGTTGGCCGCCCGGTGACTGCTGACCCTCTCCCCGGGGGGAGCAGGGCCCCTCTCTCAGCTCCCCCGACCGCAGCCATGGAGGGTGGGCTGGCACCAGGCGGGTCCCAGGGCCCAGGCCGAGGGCCCCCCCCCCCCCATCACGCGGCTCCTTTAAGCCCCACGCCGGGGCGGTCCGCACTGCATCGGCGGGGAGGGGGCGGGGCGGGGCGGCGCGGTCCGGTGCGGGGATGAGCGCACGAGCATGAAACATGGCTGCCCGGCTGTCAGCGGGGCCGCGTCCCCGGGCGGGATGCTGAGGAGCCCGCGCGGGGGTGCCACACGCGTGCGTGCGCTCGCGAGGAGGAAGCACAAGGTCACGCTCGCGCCTTCCTCCTCCTCCTCCTCCTCCTCCATGGGAGCCGGGGGCGAGGAGGGAGGCGGGCTGCGCGCGCGTGGCCGTGTGTGAAGACCGGGCTCCTCGCTCCCCGATGGAGCCGGGCAGCGTCCTGAGGCGCTGCTGCTTCTCCTCCTCCTCCTCCTCGCTGCTGCTGCTGGAGGCCAACAGCCGGCTGCTCCTCCACGGCTTCCTCTACCTGGTGCTGTACGCCCAGGTGTCCCAGGGCAAGCCCTGCGACAGAGCCTCTTGCTTCGCGGGCCGCTGTGTCAACGCCACCTGCCTCTGCGACCAGGGCTGGGTGGGAGACCAGTGCCAGCACTGCCAGGGCCGCTTCAAGTGAGTCTCGCTTCTCTTGTCCTTTGCCTGCATCGGCAGCTTGTGCCGAGCCTGCCGCAGAAGTTAGGGCCCTTCCCCGCCAGGTGGGACAGCCCCTAGGTGCAAGGGATCGGCGGGGAGAAGCTGGCAGCCTCGTCCGCGGACTCGCGACCTGTTTTGCAGAAGGGTCCTAATGGCATCTCCTTCACCTCTGTCTCCCCTGTTCCCTTTCCTTTCCTCCCCCCGTCTCTGTCCGTCTTCCCTGCTCCTGTTTTGCCCCCCCCCCATTCTGCTCCTAACTGTGCACGAGCAGCAGAATAATAAAATCGATGAATAATAGTAACAATAATAACAGTAGCATCCATGGAAATAAAAAGCACTTCCCCCTTCGTGATTGATACACCGTGGAGATAAATGACGCTTCGGCTTTTTGTAGGAAGGAGGAAATTGTGGCAGGACGGTTTGCAGGGGCCGAGTGGGTCGCGGAGGGGTGGGTCGGCGGTGCATGTTGGCCGCATGGCGTGGCGATACTTTCTCTCCGGTAGCCCCACCAGCTACCTTGTGGCTGGTGTCGTGGTTTTCCGGTGCCGTCTCCGTTGCACTGTTTGGCTCTATGAACTTGTTTAAAAAGGGGGCAGCAGGGCGTATTGCAGGGGTGGGCAAACTACGGCCCGCGGGCCGCATCCGGCCCGCGGGGTCCCTAAAAAGATGTAGAAAATTAGTATGTCTCTGCCCTTGGTTCCTGTCAAAAATGACAGGGAGCAAGGGCACTAGGACCCAGGGGAAGCCCGGCGGGCTCCCACAACAGCGGGGCCCACCCGGCCCCGCCCCCCAGCCGGAAGCCCCAGCCGCGGTTTCTGGGCTGGGAGCAAGTGGCTAAGCTCAGGTAAGGGGGGACCCCGGGCAAGGAAGGAGCGCGGGGGGGAGTGGCACGCCCCAAGCCCGGTGTCCCGCGCTGCAACGGCTTGCAGCCCGCTCCGGACAGCCCCATGCTGGCTGCGAGCCCCTGCAGCGCGGGGCACCGGGGGAGGGGCCGCTTCCCCCTCTCCCCGCTCAGCTTTTCCCTGGGCTTTAAGCCACCTCATAGAATTCAGATATGTTATATTTGTCCGCTCCCGTAAGACTAAAAACATGTACAGACAACCCCCTGCCCCCCAGGCAGTTGTAGCTGAAAGATGCTATAAAACATGTAGTTACCATCAGTGTGTTTGCAGTGTTACCTCCTTACAGGATTTAAGTTCTCCCTGAAGAGAGAATTTGGAAAAAAAAAGAAAAATATGGACTAATTGTTAAGCCCTATTTAAAACTTAGTAGAAATTGATTTTTCTCTCTTGGCAAATGAAGGTTAACTTGCATGGGGGGTAGGGGTGTGTGTGTGCGTGAGTGCATGCATGCATGTGTGCACATGTGCAGGTTTTTTAAGAATCAAAGTTTTCTTCCTTGGATACTGGGTACAGACGGACAAAGGGAAGCAAGCTCTGTTTGTCTGGGAAACCTAAAGAAGTTTGTTGTGAAACATGTTGTCTGAAGTGAGATACTTATTCTGGGAAAGGAGCTATTACTTGGCAACTTTATGATTTGCTGTGTTGCGCCGTAAGTGAGCTTATGACCGACTTGGAAAAGGGGTGTTATTCCACTGTTTCATCAGAATGTTAACTTGATAACGGTAGTTATAAATTGATCCTGTATTATGTATGTGTGTTGAGGATTTGGACCCAGTCATTGGTTTGTAGCCCTGGAACGAGTATTGTGCATGACATGTGGAGGCCTAGGTGAATTTTCTTTGTAAAAACATGCTTGTAGAATGAATTTTGCCCTCCTTTCAAGGAATTAATTGTTTTCTATAGCTTGACGTCAATTTATCCTATCCTAATAGTGCAAAGGATAAGGGAAATGTTAATCTTTTAATTATGCATTAATTACAAAGTATGAAACTTCCATTTTTGTTGGGTGATACTAGAATACCTTTATAGGTATTTCCACTATATTTTAGTAAATTGGCGTTCATTGTTTACATAAATTGCATTTGCTGGATGAGCTTAATGGGAAGAAGCATGACAGTTAGGCTTTGCCTCATGGCACTATGTTCACTTCTAGCAGAATACTAATAATCCATCCCCACCTAGAGGAAGGTCTAGCTGCATGTTTAAAGGACATCCTTTTCTTAGCTAAGCAGGCAGTGTTTAATAGATGGGCCCTAGGGTTTTTGGTGAAGTCTGGATACATTTGTTGCTCTATTTTCTAAGGTGCAAATCCTTTAGAAGGTCACTGATAGCAACATTAAGATTTTGTCACAAGAGAAGCCTTTTGCTTATTTCAGAGAGCTGTTTTTAAGGATATGCTACTGTGGAAAAGTCATCCAAGTAGAGCATTTTGAATTTTTATATAAAGAAGCAAAATGTTTCTGCTTATTAAAGACAAAAAATATGTAGAATAGTGTAGTAGTTTAGAGATTCATTTGATATGGCAGATGGTATAAGGTGGGGGACGGTATAAAATATTTGTCAGTATTTCACAGGACCAGTGGCAACCTTATCCCTTAAAGGTTGAATTATGATGCCTGGAGTCAGGGTAAGCGCCAAGACACCATCTCAATTAGCACAGTATATATGCATAATTTCCCTACTTCAGCACCTATTTTCCAGCTATGTCATAAGATCTGTCTTGCAGCCACATGACTGAAGGTCTTTCTGACTTAGGTGGGAAATGGGGAGACTTGTTTGTTAAGATGGAACTGGCCCATGTTTCCATTTGTCCATGAAGCATAAATGTGTATTACAGACATGATCAGTCCACGACTGCTTTACAGTCTGTGGTCAACCAGTGGGGTTGGCTGTGTGTGACCTCCTTGTCATTTACTGTTCTGGTCTACAAGAATTATCAAGAATGATTCAAGATAAATATAAGAGAAATGTTGTTAATAAGTGTGTAGCCTACAGTAAATGGAATAAAAATTTCATAGGTTGCAAATACTAAGTGTATAAATATTCATTAATGTAGGCTTCTGTCTGTGACTTAGACCATTCCTGTATTGTTTTAAAATGGTGTTTTATTCTTTAGTGACTTCGTATATTGCCACCCAAGGTTAAAATGGTCTGAACTTGACAAATACAGCTGAAAAACCTGTTACCTGTTTCTGGAGGCATTTAAGGTTAAGCTTAGACAAAAAGAACAAGGATGCCTTATCAATACATTTCCCTTTATGCACAATGATATATAATTGATTATAGCTTTTTGAGAGCTGCTTGTTGTCGTTGTTGTTGTTGTTTCCCCTCCAGCAAGTGGTGGAAAAAAATTACCGTGGAGGAAGGGCTGTATCTAAAGAAACTTGGGGCCATTAATTCTTATGTGAGAGAGTTTTTTGTAAATTGAGAAATAGCAGTCTAGCAGAGAAACATCAGCAGTGATTGATCAATCTTAGTAAGCAGGTGTCAAAATTAATTGACAATTCCATGGTAACCTACCTTTTTCCCTATGGGGAAACTGTTAAGGGAGTAAGATTACTCTTTAAGTGCTGCACTGGGCTGGATGAAGGATGGATCTGGGGGAAAAAAGGAACAGGTGAAAATAGTAACTAAAGCTTGTCTAAGTACATCATTTGCTACTTTTCCAGCTTTTGTGTTTACACTTTGTAGTTTGTGCATACTTGTAAGGTAACAAAACACTTCACATTTGAACACTGTATTTACATGTTTGTTAGTTTCCAGAATGTTCACCTCCGAGTTAAGCACTTTCTGGGCCTTGTTGATGTCTCATGGTGAATTCATTTTTTTTTTATTTTGTACTTGTTTTGAACTTTAAGTTGCAGTTAAACTCGGATATGTTTTCTGCCTTTCTTATTCTGTTTTCATCTATTCAGCAAAATGCAAATTTGCACAATGCAGAACAATAGAAGGTGCATTCACTCGCATATGAAACAATGCCCTTAACAAGTAAACAAGAAAAATAAATTCTGTTCATTGTTTAATGGAGGTAGAGAGAGGTAAGAAAAGAACAGAGAAGCAGTGAGAGCTTGTAACAGTTCCTCGGGTGAGAACAGATTAAAATAGAGATTGAAAGCACATTGGTCAGTCTGTCTTCACCAGGTGGTTCCATTTAAACCTATTTATTGATTCAGGCTGGGGAAGGAACCTAGCTTTTCAGAAATGGTTCCGTTAAGGTTGTATCCTCACGGTTAAAAATCTCATTGCGTGTTAAGCAAAGCTTATCTTAGAATTCGATAGACGCAGAGGCTCCTTTATCAATAAAATCTTGGTAAGTATGATAATTTGAGTAGCAAGACTAAGATCGGCAAACATAGAAAAATGTGTGTGTAGGCGTATATGTATGTATGTATATGTTTGCTGATCTTAGGCTTAGTTTATATATACTTTTTTCCTGCTGCACTGGATTTGCTTAAATTTTACTGGCATTTAACTTCTACTTTGGCCAAGTTCAGAGAGTGGTAGTTAGTCCATAAATTATGACTCTTCCCTGCCTTCTGTCTGACCTTGTTGTGAGAATAAAAGGGTGACTGCTAGGTTTAAAACTTTAGAATGTTGTGTGTCCAAAACATGGCAATAGCAACATTAACATAATTGCACAAGTAATTGTGGTAAGTGCATATTGAAACTGTAGGCACATGTGGTATTGAAATTTTGACAACTAAGCTCCAAGCTTATTTCTTCCCCCCTGCAAAGTATAGAAGTAACTTCTTTGTTCTAGGTCCAGCAGAACTGTCATCTACTTTGGTATTTGCCAGCTGAGATTCTGAGTCTTCTGTGAAGTTTTTTAGATGTGTTTTGGTTTGCATGTTATTTTATATCTTGGTCAGTGCCCAGACCTTGGTATACCATATTTAACATTACAAGTAACTCTGTATCAGTTTCCTGAATTTCTGTTGACATCTTATCCCTTCTGTCATCTTTAGACAAGTGTGAGTTTCTTGGGTAGCATCCATTGTGAGGAGCATAAGTAATAGGTTCCGTTTTACTATTAACATTGTGAGAGATTTTTCCTATTTCTAACCTGTTGTAACAAGT